ACAGACAGAGACACAGAGACACAGACAGACAGACAGACAGACGGACGGACAGACAGACAGACAGACAGAGAGACAGACAGACAGGCAGACAGACAGACAGACAGACAGACGGACAGACAGAGAGACATACAGACGGACGGACAGACAGACAGACAGACAGACGGACAGACAGAGAGAGAGACAGACAGACAAACAGACAGAGAGACACAGACGGACAGACGGAGAGACAGACAGAAGTACAGGCTGTGTTTGCTTGTTTGCATCATGCATCCATATGTGCGGACCATTCTCCTGCTTCGACTTTCAATCCAGCACCTTAGATCGCGAAGGCTCGGCTAGGTTGAAGGTTTAGGCTATCCCGGACGCCTCAACTCTGCCACGGCAACACGATGCTTTAAAGTTGCAGTGCGATGCAAGCTGCCCGTGAGGCGACTGGGTGTGGCTACGGACCTCACCGGCAGTGGCTTGCGGAAATGCCTTCAGGCCCTGCATGTAGCTCCATACTGCAGTAGTGTCCTGCAGCTCCGAATGGCAAGCCCTACAGTGTGGGTGGGTTGGTGGGTGGGTGGGTAGGGGGGTCAGAATCGTGTTTTCCTTTACTTGTCCTGACCTTCACGAGCGATGACGATGGTGAAGAAGATCCTAACATGGACCAGCAAGGGAGATTATAGTATCCCCAAAAAAAGCCTTTATAATTACCTACATTATTTTGGGGGTTCCTTATTATAATTACTGTATAATATACCCCTAAAGCCCTACTCTAGTTATGAATACCCGTAATAGCGGCGCTTTTTTGCTTGGAAAGGTCTTAGAGGGCCGGGCATGTCAAGACCTCAGCGTTTTCGCGGACATCTACGCCGCCTTGGCATCGCTGCCCAAGGATGAGCCTTGAATAAGAATTGAATGGTGGTTTAGGGTTTGTAGGGTTTGTAGGGTTTAGGGTTTAGGGTTTGTAGGGTTTAGGGTTTAGGGGCAGAAAGCGGCCTCTCGTTTCGAGCCAGAACCACCCAGATCCAACTCCTGCCAGCATGGTGGAGCCCTGATTCGATCTTGGGCAGGCGTGGAATTGAATCCCTACAGTGCCCTACATCCTTGTAAGGTTTCACAAAGTATACTCCGGGTTTCCATGGAATGCTTATGTATTTAGCGGGATGAAACGAGGATGCAACGACACTAACACGGGTAACTGGCCGTCTATTGAAAACCACGAGTGCAATCGATCAAGGAACAGGCCTCCACGGGCAGCTGGGGCTCGCAGGAGGCACCTGGGCAGTCGCGTGTCTTCGTGCCACCAGCTACCTTCCGCAAAGCGGCCGAGTGCGCGCCTGTGTTCCGCAGTGGCACCTTTTGTGTTTGTGCTTGTGTGTCCTTCGGAGTCCCGACCACTACAAGCCTTCTCAACTTGCTTCTTTCTGCAGTGGGGAGTTGTAGAGGTCTGGACTGACCATGGGAAATCCACCCTGCGATGGCTTTGTGGCTACGTCGCGCTTCAGCCTGACTACGGGCGCTTTGGCAATCTCTGCAGATCGTGGCTGGTGGGACCACATGTGGCCATAAAGCACGATCTCGACGCGCTTGAGGCCAGGCCTGTTCCATTGTCCATCTTGCTGAACTGCCAGAGAAGCCGCAATTCGGAATAGCCTGTGCGCATGTCCGCTTTTCGCAGCCCTCAGATGTTCAAATCACATGTCACATGGTTCGAGCCACACAGGGGGTTCAAACGGAGTGTAAGACTTTACAGATGGGTGCATCTTTGCATCTTATGTTGATGCTTTTCTACGAAGGCAGTGACAGCTGCAACGGAATTCAGTGGTGTCATTCAATAATGCCACCTACTACTTCGTGCATCTGTGCCAGCTATCGGTTTCTACTTCAGTCGTACCTGGTAGATGAGGACTGTCTTGCGAGCCACCCGAAGCCTCTTTACTTTCCAGTACATAAGACGTCCTCCTAACCTTCTCGTCGGTACCCTGAGACGGTGTAGATGTTGTGCAGAGCGACATGGGGGTTTCCGAAAATAGGGGACCCTAATATAGTACCCTAAATAATAGGATCCTTATAATAAGGACCCCAAAATAAGGTACCCCCTATTTTCGGAAAGTCCCACATCCGAATCGATGATCCTAAAAAAGCGGCGAATGAAAGCCCGACCTCAGGTTGCCGAAGCCTTGTAAGTCCTGGCCCGGCCCCTGAGCCCACAGAACTTAGGTGCCCCCAAAGCAAAGGGGGGGTTTAGGGTTTAGGGTTTAGGGTTTAAGTTTAGGGTTTAGGGTTTAGGGTTTAGGGCGGAGCTCCCCCCCATTTTCTTATTTGCTGCGCGCCATGGCTTTGGGCAGCCAACTCACAGCTGCTCAGTTCGACGAAGTCGTGGTCAAGCTTCATGCGGCCGCAGAGAGCACCTCCGCTGTACGACTAGGGGCCTCAATAATTGCCTGCATTATTTTGGGGGGTTCCTTAGTATCATGATACTATAAAGGACCCCAAAATCCGATTCTAATTATTAAGGCCCCTACATTCTCTGCGTTACGACTAAAGGCGGATTTAGGATCCACAGATCCGCAGCTGTCGTGCTATGTCCCAAATCGATCCCAGGAATTCTATAGTGTGAATCTGAAATTAGGAGCCCCAGATTTCTCAAACATGCAGACAACGAGCTTTGGCAAAGCATATCGGAAATGTCACATTCGAAGCGGCCCGTAAAACAATGCAATGTTCCCGAATGTTGTTTGCATGTTATTTTGGGAATTTATTCTCTGTTTGTTCTGGATTACGTCACGTCTTGGCAAGTTTTTGTTTCGGAGCATTCTTAGGAATTTTGGAATGTTTGCTTGACATGTCAGCCATGCAGAAGGATGTGACACAATGTAGCACGAGGCCTCATCCGGTCCAGCGGGCACGTGCAGAGCACCAAAGTGTCTCGACCGGAATCTGCAGCCGCAGGTGCAGGCTGTGATAATCTCCTGTCAACCCAAGTCCTGAAAGGCTCCAGCCCCTGAAGCCTGAAAACCTGCGCAGCCGCAGTGTAGCACAAGCTTGGGTAGCACAAGCTTGTGTGAGGATGCTTGGGATGTTTGGGGTGCAGGCTTTCGGGTTTCGAGTCTCGGTCGTATCGGATTTTTGGCATGCGGGTTGGAAGCGGTGGGCCTGTGGTAGGGTTGGCCAGAGATCTCCGCGGAGCGTGGTTTTCAAAACCTTCAGCCAAGCTTAAGCCCGAAAAGTAAACTTCGTCGAGCAGAGATTTGTCAGGCTGAGATCGAGTTGCTCACGCAGGCAGGCTCGTGCGCCAAATGTCAGGAATTCACAAACTATGCTAGGTTGAAGCTGTGAGTGTTTGGGGCAGAGCCCGCTTTGTAGAGACCAAGCTGCGCAGTTGCTGTCAGTATATGCGAAGAGGACACAGGCTTTCGTACGACCAGCCAGACTGATGAAGGAAGCTTGTCCGCGGGAAAGTCCACAATCCCCCTTGGCCTCGAGTGGTGCTTGCTAGATCACCAGCACAAACTTGAAGACTGAAGACTGGAAGTCTGATCCTGGAGCTTTTCATCTTTACTGCTGAAGATGAGCTACTTAGAGGCTGCCATCCATCACCCCTGAAGATGAAAACTGGAGCTCCAAAATCCCAAGACGCAAACCTCAAACTTGCACGAAGCAGGCCGACAACACTCGACAGGAGGCTTGTCGCCACCCCAAGCAACTAGACTCTCAAGACGGAGGGTAGAGTACATAGATCATGACTGCACCGGTGTCAAAGAACCATCATCAGGTCCTTCGAAAGATCACACCACCCAAGCAAAAGAACCGGCGCGCTTTGCAGGTGGAAGTTGCCAGAAAGTTCATGATCGCGCCTTGGCTTCACAGATGCTACAGGGTCGATGTACCCTAAAGCCACCGGAGCCTCGCTACCCTCCCGCATGAAGTGTCCGGCTAAGGCAAGCCTTCATGAGCCGGACGACAGAAAGGCCTTGCATGAAATCTTCGGAGGAGATCTGGCAAGAGTTTGCGGCGTTCGAGTCACTCGGCTCAAAAGAATAAGGCTTGTACGGAGCATCTAGATCCGTGGTGCTATGCAAGATCCCCTTTCAGCACAAAACTGTAGTGCTTCTGGGAATCATGACGCAGTCATGCTTTTAATGGGATCCCCTTCCATTTTGCTGACCCTAGTGAGAAGCCTGCATGGAAGGGGCCAAAGGAAGGGGTCTTGCCGCATGCCCAGTCAACCCTTTTGTGTGCCAGTCCGAAGGTAGTTTTGGAGCAGCTCGACTCTGTGGTTAGCCCAAGCGCTAGCCAGCGGCTGTCCCAGTGCCGCTGGATCGCAGGGGAAGGATTGCTCGCGAGGTTCGCACAGCCGATCAAGCCCTTAAAACCCTTCAGCCTTTAAGCGCCAAAGTCAGTACAAGCCCCCTGGAGCCCCATCAAAAACCGAAACCACCAGGACCCTAAAATCATGAAGCCCTTTGCCTTGGAGCCCCGGCAAGAGAAAGGTCTGATGGCCTGCCGGTCCATCGAAGATGTCTTAGCCGACCTTGGTTGCTTGGAGTGGCTACAGTGGGGCCGGGCCGGGCAGACGACTGATGATATACATCCTGCAGTACCCAGAACAAGGAATATACCATAATTCATAATTCCCATAGTTTAGGGTCCTTAAGGTAATGCTGGATTTATATCATCAACAGTACGACTGATGATCTAAAGCTTTCTGCAAGGCTTTACAGGGTTGGTGGTTGAGGTTCCAGGGTTTCAGTGCTGTTCGAGCCTTGTGTGTATAGTCACCAATACCAATGGCTATCAGCAGACTGGCAACAGGTCTTCTCCCAGTAACTCTGACCATCTCACTTTTTCTTGCTCGTGAGGTTCGTGGTTCAGCCCGGCAATATCCTTCTGGAAGGGTTCGGCGTCCCAAAGTCCAGGAACGACAAACTCTTTCCCCATCCAATCCTTGAAGCCAATTTCAAACCCCACCGCTTTCATGCTGAAGCACCTAAGATCCATCCTTGTTCCTCGAAGGCTTGTCCAGGGCCCTGCTGGAAGCCGAGGAAGAGCAGCGCCAGGTGCGAGGGCACGATTTTGTGCTAAGTAGGCGCAAAAGGCCAGAGCGGCCCGCACCAGGCTCTGGCCGAGCGTCACGCCAAACTCGGCGAGCCCAGCAGCAGCAGCAGCAGGGGCTCTTTGTCAAAAGTCTGTCGGCAAGCCTGCAAGATTTGAAGTGGCGATGGTACTTGATAACTCAGGATACTGCAGAAGAATGCTGCTGATGGCGATGACAATTCGAGTGTTCATGGAAGTGTGACGATGACGATGATGATGCCATCAAGTCTATGGCAATAGCATGAAGGAGGAGGAAGATGAAGAGGAGGAGGAGGAAAGAGTGCTTTGAGCTAAGCCAAGCTTGCTCAGAGCTTCGTCGAAAGCAAAATCGTCGAAGTCTTCATCTCTGTCAGCTTCATCATCATCACTCTCAACTTGTTAGAAGAACTGTCAGGCTGAGAGCCTAAGTGAGACGCAGGCGACAAGTTGAAGATGCGATGTTGGAGCCTTGGTCCCGAGGTTGCGCTAGCCCAGATGGTCTGGACGCAGCAAGCCCGGCCGCTTGGTGAGATCTCATGTCGGTCAGCATGGGCCATGGTCACGACAGGGATCGCAACATGCGAAAGTGGGTAGCACTTTCATGAAACACGTATATGGCCCACATCAGCAAGCGTCAACATATGGTATGGTGATCACCGACCAGTGCATAGTGCTACTGCAGGTGGCAATGTCGAACCCACAAATCCATGCAATTGCCAACGACTTCTTCATCTGTGCTGGTGAAATTCGGGACGCTGCCGACTCGGACGAGCAAGATGACGCGCAGGCATCGGCTGCCGCTTATGTTGCGAGATTGCGAGACTGAAACAGCCCATCCACCCGCCCACTCACCCACCCACAACGTGGTCTCAAAAAGGCAGTCTCAGTCCACAAGCTTGAGCTTCGTGTCAAAACTAGGGGTTCTCGAAAGCACTGAACGTTAGTGTGCCAGCCGTTGTCGTGCTACCAGTACTACGGGCAAATTTTCTGGTGCATGTGGCTTTGAGACCAAAGGAGGCTGCAAAACCGGGTAGCGGCAGATGACTCCCATGAACGACAGATAAGACATGCTAGAAGCCGCAAAGCTTTTCACTGCACCCACGCTGCCCTTCAACCAGTCGAAACTTCACGGGTACCCAGTCATCATCCCAGCGCCTCCAGTTGCAGAGCTTCACGAAGCGTCTATCTGAACTGGCGTCCGACATCGTCACTGGAGCAGGCCAGGCTCCTAGGGCGGTTTAGGGTTCAGGGTTTAGGGTTTAGGGCAGGAGGGCTCGTGCGTTGGAACTTAGCCGCTGCTTTTTGGCCCTTCAGCTCATGGGATGTGGGGTTCTGCTTGTAGACTTTGTCGAACTTGAAGTCTTTCGCAAGACGGGACTTCTTCTGCAGGCCCCTGTGTCTTAAACCTTTGGAGCCTGAACCCAACATTGGAGCGTTTAGGGGCCCTAAACCCTCAACATCTCGAAACCTCACTCTTTGATGGGTCCCAGCAAAATCCAAAGATGCTTCCCAAGATCCTAGGCCTTCAGTTTCCTGATTGGGACTCAAGATTTGCGGGTTGTGTTGCTGTGTTTCTTTGCATGTCGGTTCAGGGTCTGGCAACTCTAGAAGTCGTGGCCTCGTCTCACTGTTGCTTTCAATTTGGAACTGAATGTGAATTAATCTCATGTTGTTAATATTTAATAGTTATGTTCGTGTCTTTTTAGCGATTGAAGTTGGCTACTGAAACCTTCGGAAGAGTTGCGACAGACCGGGCTTTTCAGTCCGTTGAGGCTTTAAGGGTTCCAGTGCTTCGACACGACAGGAGGTGCCATGACCGATGCGCGATCTCGCGCAGTGCAGCTCCCGACGTGGCTGGGTGAGGCGAGATCGACGAGTTAATATATTGGGGTCTTTATAATAATTACCTATACTATTTTGGGGGGGTTCATATTACAATTCTATAGTATAATAGGCCCCAGGACGCCTATTCTAATTATTAAGGCCCAAAGATTAGGCCCAAAGCTGAGGCCCAAACCCTTCCCTTCAGGTGGCAGCTGCTCTGCGCAGCTACGTCACGCGCTCCTGAGGCTGAGGCCCAGCTGAAGCTTTAGACTTCAGTCTTGAGACGTTGAGCGGGCGACTATCTGCAGGGCATTTGCGTTTGGAGCACACCGTACGGCCTGAGGGTGTGTGGCGACGCACAGGTAGAGCCGAATTGGAAGGGTTTAGTGTTCGTGTCGGGCATGAGGTTCTAAGAGTTTCGGGCAAACTCCTGCGCATACGTGCATAGCTCTGCAACATGTAGGGCAGCGTGGGGCCGTGGGGCATCACCAGCTATGCAAGATGAGTAACATGCATGGAAGATGACAGATTAAATCTGCAGATTTCCGGACTTTGACAGTGCCTCGGATGCTGTTTTTGTTTGACGTGACTAGCCCTGAAGCCGAGGGGTTG